CGACCGACGCAAGCTAGAAGTGGAATTTACTCGACGTTTTCCGGAGGTCGCGCGTTTCGTTTGAGAGGCAGACCCTATTTCGTGGGAATGGTTGCGGTGATGTGACCCTGGATCGTAGCTATAGTGGAGAAGGCAACCGCATGGTGGGTGTACTGGGAACGACCGTAGCATAGTAGAGTGGGAGTGAGCCCAGATGTCGCAAAACATACAACAGCATCTCCGGTGATATTAGACTAGGGCCCAGGAATGAATATTATCCTTCAATATATCAACAGTTCAGTGTTCCTACTGTGGGCATCCCAGATGTTAGGCTGGTATTTATTGTGGGAGTGAATATGGACATCTACAAACGCCAACGTGACATCTGATGCTAAAGGCACCAACAATAGTATGATATTGACGCGGCAGAATACTGCAATCCTGGAACGAACCTAGCTGGAACAATGGGCGGCACTGCCCGATCATGAAGCCCGATGGAGACTACTTCACGGTGATGGCGTCAACGAGTTGAACAACAGACGACGCGTGAGGGTTTGTATCGTTATCCCAAAAGATGTCCTAAATACAATACATGGAACCATTTCGTGGCGGCCTGCGCCCTGCAGCTTGGAGAACCCACGCTATTGACGACAGCGGTTGAGGCGCAGGGTTCAAGTCCGTAGTGGTATATACGACTGGCTGAGCTCACTTTTGTTTGAAGATCATCACCCGACGACCGAAATGGAGAAGGATCAGACAGGCATGGTGAATGAAGGAGCTTATGTGACGCTATGCATGTGGATATTCCCCGGTAACCCTCGTGTTAAAGTATTTTGTGATCACTATATTGTTTGTTCGTGCCTCATTGTCCATTTTTTGACGACGGTAACATCGAACCCTCGGATATCTTATTAGACCAAATAGCCGCTGAAGCCCACTGCATCAGTAAACAGTATTGTGAGATTACACGTGTAGCGATCCCTAGAGACCGTAAAGAAGACTCACATGTTTATTCGCCTCTTGGAACAGCAGTGCTCGCTGTTGCTTGGCTCTCAAAGGTAGACTGAGCACAGAGGGGAAGGACATGTTGCATGTTCCCTCTTAAAGGGGTCACAACGGTCCTGTCCCCTGTTGTATTATCCTTCCACCGGGAGTTGCATGTCCCGCATTTCCTCAGGGAATTGTTCCGCAATACCGCTTGACACTTGCTACACTTCGAATCCCATAACACAAGCCCACCCTGGGGGTTCTCATACGCAGATACTGAAAACTAGGAACTTGACAATTTCTTGTCGAATCCCAAAATGAAGGGATCGAGGATGTGGAGCTCCAAAATACCAACATTCACCCTCCCACACCTCTCACTCGATGAGTCCCAAGACCATCGTTTGAACCAACCAAGAAAAGGTAGAGGAAGGAAAAACGAGGGCTACGAATGCAGGAGACCAAGAGACTGAGCGAAAGAAAACGCAAACGCCACGAATACCATAAACAGGTCGAAACCGAAAGAAACGAATACAATGCACGAAAAACACAATCGGGACGGCCATATCCAACCGTATCGACAACACGCTAGGAAACACCACGTAGTCAGTGCCGTCGAAACGACAAGAAGCGACAAAAGACACTCACGGCTAGCCCGTATACGCTACCCAAAAATCCTTACGACGCAATAGCACCACGACGTACCCCACAAGAAGACCAGAAATCAATCGTTTCGACAACGAAAACAGGGGGTCGTGACCCAAAGTAAGGGCCGACGAAATCAAACCGTAGCAGGGAGCCGAAGGAAGCTCGACCACGCGAACGGCGAAAGAAGCAGAAACGCAAAAGGACTCAAAGGACAAGAGGACGTACCAGACGGAAACAAACCGATCGTCAGAATGACGGGAACAAGGGGTCGAAGTACCAAAACGAAGCTCAACACTGCGCTACCTAGCGGGCAACAACAGCCTAGATGTCCTTCCAAACGGAAGAAACAGATGAGATCAGGGGCGACCTCGAGTCCGCATCCCAATCGGGATAAAACATACACAACCCCAGATGCCATCACGCATGCGCTAGCTTGTCGGCGAATAATGAATGCCGTATTTTTTGGCGGCGAATGCTCCGCCTCCACGTTTCGCGACATGTCAACATTGCGAAGAAGCCCTTTCATGACAGCGCTACCGCCGTGAACTTGAAGACACCATGAACCGCAGGCAGCAGATCCTAGGGTAGAAAAACGAACATCGGACGGGGTGATCTTGACCGATCCAGGGTCATCGAGGAAGCGGACGATATAGTGGTCGACCCGCACAGTCGGTCCAGAGATCTTGCCCAGAAACCAATGTCCATCTTTTGAGCCTTGTACCAGAAGAACGCTCCCACAGGTAGAAGAGTATCGGCGAAATGACGATCCCAGGTGAAACGGGAGGCAAGAGAGTAGCCTGGAGGCAAATATCGCTCGCCCATAGCACGTGCCAGTTCCCGTGCAAATGCGCCAATACGCATCGCACGATAACGGCGATTGGTCTGATGGTGTTGATCGGGCGAATCCGTCCAACACCGGAGAATCTGTGATCGGGAGTGTTGAAGGTCCATTTCGCGTTCCCAAGAAGGAAGGAGAAGTCCTTTCCAACGTGTCTGGTAAGAACAGCGAAGACACTACCACGACCACGACCAGACTGACGGCCAGTAATTTGGTCCACCTCGATACGTTCGACCGAAGTCCTGCAGACGACGCTAAATGTTGTGGGATTACACACGTGGTGATCCCTGAACACCCTGGTGAAGACTGACTTGTTTAATAATCTCTTGGAACGGCAGTGCCTGCTGTTGCTTGGCTGTCAAAGGTAGACTGAGCACAGAGGGGAAGGACATGTTGCATGTTCCCTCTAAAAGGGGCCACAACGGTCCTGCCCCCTGTTTTTTCCTTCCATCGGGAGTTATATCTTTTGCACTCTTCAGGGAATCGCTCCACAATACCGTTGACACTTGCTACAATTCAAATCCCATGACAGCATGTTGTCGGAGTATGGTCTACCGCTCACGTCATGGGTTCTTCATCTACATTACATTAATGTCTCCGCAAGGATACACGCAAAAAAATCAAGCCGTAGACTATGCTATATATAGGCCTCCTAATGTAATCGAAATCGGAGGCCACGCGGGGGGGAGGGGGTGATCTTTAGGGGGGGACTGATTATTGCTTGACATTTTTTGGTATGAGGCACCGTGGATAGAAAACCCGCTGCAGCGGGGGGGGTAATGACATACTATCGTGAACGACCCCCTATACTTTTTCCTTCCTAAAACTTGAATCAAAATTTGCCCTCCCTCTCCGGGGGGGGGGGCATGGCCTATCTACAGTACCTTTCTTTGAGTTCAGAACTTGTTGATAAAACTTCATGAAACTTGGATACAGTCGTCTAGTTGTAATCCTCTCATCATCCTACGGTACGTCTGAAGAAAAACAACAGTATACTGCACGCACCTACGCATGCTCTGCGTTCCGTTAACAGGTACAAGAATAACCCCCCCGAGAAGATACGACCTCATCACCGCGTCTTCCTTCCACACTTTTCTCGCACAACATAGTCATGATGTGCGTATGTCGTTATTATTAGCATCGACCACGCTAACTGATTGACCGATGAAAAGACGTCAGTCTCCGTGCTTTTGAAAAACTACTCATCTAGATGGCATGAAATGGGACCCCGTGAGGGGGCGACCTGGGAGAGGCTAAGCTATTCTCTAGATTAAAGACACTAACGGTGGCATCAGTAGAATTCTGCACGTATCTACCAAGGCTGCTACCCTGTACTCGAGTTCGCTTCGGAGTGCTTTCACCACCATCATTCTCATCGTCGTTATTACAGCATTTTTTCGGCCGTTCTCTTCTATCTAACCCCGAGTCGTTTGTTGTGGGGAAGGTCATCCGGGTCGAAGCTCTTGCTCTCTTCCACTCCAAGCTCCCTTCCTCGATTGCTGTTTTGGTCGTTCCTTTGTCCTTGTTCGTATATGTCCTATACTTGGAAGGGGCAGACGTTTATTCTCTTGAGTCAGACACGCAAGGGGAGCAGGGAGAAGTGAAGCCCTCTTTGGAGTTCGAGGGGTCCCCGCACATGCAACCATTTGAAGGTGTACATATGCCCCATCTGCGTGCCCTCTTTTGTTGCCGGTAGATCGAACCAGTCCGTATCCAAATACACGAACACCCTCCCCGGTTTGCACGCGAATGGCAAACCTAACGTGGGGCATGGATACCCCTGATCTACCAGAGGGACTCAAAACAGCAACAGGCTCGAGGGAAAACCCAGCCAACCGGATCAAAAACCCTCGTCTAACACCCTAAATATAGAAAACCGTCGCTATCACGGAGGATTCCAACGGCCGCACTTCCAAGACAAGACCAAGGCAGGACAGATTGAACCGGTCAGGCTGATTACACACCCGAAGCAACGCTCTCGGCATTTGNACCTAACGTGGGGCATGGATACCCCTGATCTACCAGAGGGACTCAAAACAGCAACAGGCTCGAGGGAAAACCCAGCCAACCGGATCAAAAACCCTCGTCTAACACCCTAAATATAGAAAACCGTCGCTATCACGGAGGATTCCAACGGCCGCACTTCCAAGACAAGACCAAGGCAGGACAGATTGAACCGGTCAGGCTGATTACACACCCGAAGCAACGCTCTCGGCATTTGTAGGCTCCAGCCGCGGGTGACGCGCCGGCACAACGCTTCCTGCGTGACGTACCATGGTCATATATGCCAAGTGCTAAAACCACCACATAAACCAAACAGAACAAGAGGTCTCTACATCGGTAGGTTCATCAGAGCCTTCCGGTGGTACTCTAACCTCTCTCTGCCAAGGACCTTGGTCAGCATGTCGGCGTGCTGCTCTCCAGTCGGAACATACTCTGCAGTGATCTTGCCCGACTTGAATAGCTCGCGAATGAATTGGAACCGCACGTCGATGTGCTTGCTCCTCGCTGAGCTGAACGGGTTCTCGATTAAGGCGAGAGCCCCCTTGTTGTCCTCAAGGACCTTGATCTTCGCCCCACTCGTCTCGGGCGCTTTGAACCACAGAACGCCACGCACAAACAACGCCTCCTTCACGCCCTCCCCGGCTGCCATATTTTCTGCTTCCGAGGTCGACTGAGCCGTCACTGGCTGCGTCTTTGTGGATGCACACACTACAGTACCACCTACGGTCACAGCTAGCCCGGTCGAAGAACGCCTGTCTACTTGGTTGTCAGCGTAGCTGGCATCGACAAACACGCTTAGGTCTAGTCCTGACCCCCGTACGTAGGTGATGCCGAAGTCCTTCGTGAAGTTCAGGTAGGCCATGATCCGCACAAGCGCGTTTCCATATCCTCCCGGTGGGTGAGTGGGCGATCTTCTGGAGCTTGTTCAGAGGCAGGGCGATGTCTGGCCTCGTCAGCTTCGTCCACATCAGGCATCCGATCGCCTCCCTCACAGGCTTATCCACCGCGGGCTCGTCATCTCTCTTCGGGCCTAGGTCGGCATCGGTGGCAGCAGGGGTGAAAGCGGTCGTGGTCACATCAAACCGCTTCAGCATCCTCTCAATGTATACTGTCTGGGACAGCTTGGTGATACCATTTTCTACATCCATGGCGATAGCACACCCGTCGTACCAGGTACACTTCCCCAGATCTTTCACCGGAAAATTCTTGTTGAAGGAAGCGAACAACTCCTCTCGCTCTCCCTCGTCTGCCGCCACTAAGATGTCATCAACGTAGATCACGATGCGACCTACGACCTCTCCATCCACCACCTTCCGGAAGACACACGGGTCAACCCTGCACTGCTCGTATCCATTCTCGATGACGGCATCGGCAGCCTTAAACCCCCACTCACGGCCACTCTGCTTTAGGCCAGACAGGGCACGCTCAACCTTGACCACCTTGCCGGACATGTTACCACAGCCTTCCGGGAACCTGAGGTATATTTGTTCTTTTAGCTTAGCGTGGATGTACGCTTGCTTCACATCCCAGCGAGCGAGTTTCTTGCCCTTTTCAGTGACTACGGCAATCACCGTCTTGATAGACGCTGCAGACGGGCACGCTGAGGATGAGTGGTGGGAGTCGATGCCGGGGATTTGAGAGAAACCCCGCGCAACCATACGGGCCTTGAAGTCGACTATCAGGCCCTCCTCATTCGTCTTCCAAGAGAACACCCACTTTGAACCTATGGCCTTCCGCCCCTCGGGCAGCTCCTTGGCCTTGGTAAAGGTTTCAGTCTTGTCGTGGCCATCTATCTCTTTCTTCATGGCCGCCTCCCAGAAAACTTTGTACTTAGAACACATCACATCATTGTATGTCATCGGTACTGCTTCCACATCACCCGGCTTCCGCCCGATTGGCCAGGTCATACTTAGCTGTGGGTCTGGCAGTGGTTGCGAAGACCCGCTGGCGTCGACCTCGGCCCCGAACGCCTGCTGTTCCGGGCCCAACACCTCCTGCATCTCGCGCCTGTACATCTCCTCCATACGGCGTGTCTGCTCCTCGTCCCACTGCTCCTTCACAAGCGAGTTGCAGATGTAGTCCTCAACAATCCCCGTCCTGCCAGTTTCCAGGATGGTCGCCAGCAATGCCTCTTCCGGGTCCGGTGTTTCTCCGGGCCCCGGCATCTCCCCGGCTCCTTGCATCTCCTGGGTCTGCTTCCTCATGCGGCCACTCTCAAGCCCATGGCGCAGCGGACCAGCGTTCGAGGCGCCCCAGAGGAGTTTCTTCCCTTCTAGTTCGCGGGGGTAGCGGTCGTCGGCTGGATCATACTTCAACTCCTCGAGGTTTCGGAGTCGCCGGGATCACCATCGCTACCGCCGTCCCCACCTGGGTCGCCGGACTCTTCGCCGCCCTGGTCGCCGGCACCGCCGGCGTCTCTGCTGCTGCTGCTCGGGCTGCTGCTGCTGCTGCTGTCGGTGGGGCTGTCACTGCCTCCGCCGAAGTCGCCCCTTCCCGAAGGGGGCGACGGGGGAACGCTGCCTCCGTCCCCCGGAATCCCGTTGCCGGGTGCCGTCGGCCCTCCTCGCGCACGAACGGCGTCGCTTGCCCTGGCCCACGAGCCTCCATCACATCGAGGTCGGACTCACGCTCTTGATTCTCTCTCTCCCCCCCAACCTTGGCGTGATGCATCCGCTCTGCTCTCGCCCTCCCCTCCCTCCTCGTCATCTGCGAGAGGTAGCAGCTGCGGGGGAGCGGGCGATGCAGCGGGCACGTGGCGCCAGGTGAAATTGCGGGTGG